GAAGTAGCTTTTGCAAATTCAGTTAGCATCTCTTGCCTGTTTGCCAGCTATCACTGAGGCAGAGTAGGGAGAAGAGAGGCAAAAAAGAGAGTTAAGAAGCTTTGCCAGTTCCTTACAAAATAGGATAGGCATTTTAAAACCAAGCCAAACAGATCTGCACCCTGCCAACATTTCGGCCTCTATTACATTCTGGATTATAGAATGTGCTCCAAAGCAGGTCACTAACATGAAGTAAAATATGGCAAAAATAGAGGTCAGAAAGGAGAAAGACTGTTGGTTGCAACTTTATTTTCAGCCTCTCTGCATTTCTCACTACCCTGTAAAAGTTACCGACACGCACTTAGTTACAGCTAAGGAAGCACTTTCTTTTCTAGAAATTCTTCGCAGGAGCTAGAATGAAGCTGCAGAACTGAATTTTTGTGCTTTTCAAACAAGAGAAGCAATGCTGTTCAAGTGCTGAGATGAAGCAGGATTTTGAAGCAGGTTTTTCAAATGGAAAGAGTTTTGTACTTGGAAAACATGAATGGCTGGACTTAAAACCTGGCAAGTGCAAGTACACAGTGTTCAAAACAGAATGTGTGACTTGGCAGCCAGGGAAATAACCGATCATGAAACAGAAGCTTTATCAATCGCTGAAAAAAATACACACATTGCCCACGTAATTGTATTTTGTTATAAAGTTAAGCACACAAAGAAGGCAAATGTTCAAGTTAACTTTCATGGTGAAAAACTGGCCCTAAGCACATCAAGGTACACAGCTCACAGGGCAGCCTCTGCGTGTATATCGTTGCAACAGTACACACTATAAACAAGCACACTCCTTGGAAGAACTACAGCTGTGCCCCAGGAAGTCCAAAATAAACATATGGTCACTGAATTTACTGTCCTTTGATAAATTAATGTAACAACCCCTATGTCACTGCAATAATACACACCATAGTGAAAATAGGCAGATTCAAAGCTATACTTAAATTTCACTTAAAATTCTACTGACTTTATATGCGAAGTGATGGCATTAAGGTAGCTCCTGTAAAGAGGAATCACTGTGCATTATACTGATGCAGTGTATTTGATATGCACCAGTCACAGTCAGGGAGCTTAACTTTGAAAATAATGATTCTTAATGTTAAAGATGAGATTTTCTTTTGATTCAAAGAGAGAAAAGTCTCCAGTATAAGAGCTGAGTTTAATACAACTTTGTATCTTTTCCACAGAAGCCAGAATTTTCAAAGTAATTTAAAATATATTTACAGAAAAGAAAAAAATAAGCAAGCTGTTTGAAAACTTTTAATACAACCCTTTTAGTGGATGTTGGTATAAAAAGGCTCCAGAACCCATTGAAATACATATTTTGATCCAGAACGTCCAGATGCTATTGGCTCAATATCTAAATCTTCTGATAACTAGTGAAATGATACTTCGCTACTGGAAGTTCAGAGCCAGTAACTCTGAAAGAGCAAGCTGTACTCTATTCTGCTTTATGTACCCGTGAATTTGCCAGGTACAGGCTGATTCTATAATCTTGACTGCAGGCAATGATTATGAAGCTAGAAGAATAGTATTTTATTTTTGGATACCAGGAAGAGCATGAAGGTGGTAATCAAAATAATATGGAAAGCTGCGCTAGAGAATAAGAAAAGCAATGACTAAAATGCTGTTTTAGTTTTACATTCAACAGTTTCATTCCAAAACCCACTACGGCAAACGATGCAGCTAGAACCAAAAATGTTCCAAAAAATAGAATGCATACTCTTTAATAATACAAAATATTATAAATGTGCAATAATAATATTTACTATTTTCCAGTAAAGAAAATATAGAGAGATCTGGAGGTTCAGAATGCTGGGAACAACTCTGGGGTATGTATGTATGTAGGCATTTATGTATAATATATGTTGAGGCTTCTAACTCTGTGTGTGAAAAGTTCCCCAACCATTCTCACTCTCAGGCAAGGGATCAGCCACCTCCCTAATCTCATCCCTTGCACTAGGCCCTACACAGACATTAGACACTTAAAAGAATGAGAGTGGGTGCATTCTGATCACACAGCACTTTCCCCCCGCTGTCTATAAAATCTACTGTATAATCGGTTCTGTCCTAAGGCAAGAGAGTGGCTGGAAGGAAAAGGAAGCCCTAACGTTAACGCAGAGGCAGAAGGCCTGTTGAGATGAACTTTAGTTCTCCTGCTTTGAAAGTCAAAAAACAAAATCATGGTCATTGCAAGGGTCAGCAGAGCTTACACCTTTCTCTGGGTGTCTTTACTCAGGAAGAAACTAAACCAAATCTATACTGACTGCTCAAGAAGCAAGACTAAGGGCCAAATTATCTACTAGTGGTGACGGAAGCAGTATCACTGAATTGACTAGAGCAGTATTCATTTAAATCAGCAGACAATTAGATCCTGAATCTTCTACAATGGAATTATTACATATAGTATGTACTTCTCAAAATGTAATGTCCTTTATGGCTCAGTCCTGTTGGACACCATCAAAGCCATGCCTGGACGCGTTAAGGGTCCTCACAGAAATCCAACATACCAATGACTTGACAGCAAATATACACATTTCCAAAACTTTTCTCAACTGCAGCAGCAGATGGCAGTGCAGTATTTTTCTAATTACAGGATATTAAATATTGGGATAAGTTACCTGTAACATGGTGGAGTGTTATACAAAGAGCCATTTGTTGCTTGTGTTTTGTAATCCAGTACTACAGGACATTCTTTCAATGCAAATCCCAGCAAGTCCTCACGGACTATTACAACAGTAGCTCCAGCACAGCCAACGTTCTTCTGAGCACCAGCAAAAATCACACCAAACTTTAACAGAAAGGAGAAAAGAAGGACTTGTTAAATGCAGTCACTAACAGATCTTATAACTGCGTAATAAACCAGTATATATATACACAACAGGAATACAATTAAAATGAACAGCTTGGAGAATAGGTTGAAAATAAGGAAGTTGTGGGTCAAAGAAGGCTCAGGAGATATTCTGATTTCAAAGAGACTTCCAGCTATCATAGAATTGTTATACCATATGTTAACACGTACATACTATCAGAACCATGTATCTTCATTCGTTGAGATAGTTGATCTCAACAAATTCTTCAGTAATTTGCCAAATGCTTATTTAGTGGTTATAAATCATTCTCAAGCAGCCTGTCTCCATTTTACACTACTTCAAGCAAGTTTATGAAAAATAAAAAAAGAGAAATATTTACAATTAATCTGCCATTCCAGAAGAGGAACTACATAATTCATCCGTTCAAAGAGAGGTAGATCAGCAAAAGCAAAGATGAATGCACTAGCAATTGTCCATTCTCTTCCTTCACATACGTAAGAAAGGTCAAACGCTCCACTTCCCTAGTTCACAAGTCAGTAACATTTCCCAACCATAGCAGGCTTTACAAACATTAGTAAGTTCTATCTTCTACCTCTAAGAAACTGAGACAGTAATTGTAAGGCATAGGAAGCTTTATGGCTTAAAAGTGGCCATGTCAGAGGCAGGATCAAAAATTCTGATTCAGTGCCCTGCTTTAACCATACACACTACTTACAGATTAAATAAGATTTAGAAAATACCTTGGTCAGCTACAGAATCAGTGAAGACAATGCAGTAGACAAACAATCTTGCAGAGCCAATAGCATGAACTATTTCAACATAGTTTAGTATATTATCTTACTTTCAGCAAAAATAGACAACTTTCAGATCTGAAATTTCAGATTTCAATGTTTATATCCGTCAGATATCCAATTAACAAAATACAATTTCCTTAATTGTTTCACTGCTCAGCATCTCCAGCCATCCAGACTCTTACAGAGGCCTGTATGCCTTGGATAGATATCTAAGTTGGAAATGCTTTGTGCAGCCACTGTGTCTGATACTGTACCTTGGAAACATCCACAGGTCTGGACAGGAAGTTGGATGACATATCACAAACCAAAACTGCTCCTTTGACATCAGGTACAAAGTCAAACTCTACGCCATGAACAGTCTCATTAGCACAGTAATAGACATAAGATGCATCTGGATTAAGATTCCAAGTGCTTGGGTCAGGAATTTCTGAGAAAGACAAAAAGGAAAACCAAAGGTCACTGAAGACAAGTAATTTTCCTAGCATGCAATTTTTCTTGAACAGTGGACTTTTAAAACACAAACTCACACTGATTTTGCTGTACAACGTAACACTGTACTTTCCTGGCAACAAGCTAAATTTATCTACAAAGGAAATACACTCATGGGTTCCCAAAATTCTCTGTGGCGACCTATCATCAGGCTTGCAGACTTTCTGGTTGCAAATCCTTCTTCCTCAAGGAATTTTAATCAGGTTTGCACACAATCTTAAGAATTTCAGCTGAATTTGAGCACTTCCATCCAAGAATGCCTTCAAAACCACAGCACCATCCAAATTCTCATTGGTAAAGTTCTCTAAAGGTCTGTTTCTGCGCAGATCCAAAAGTATTTCAGTCTATCCCAAGCTAAACATGAGGCTACCTGCCTCCCATTTAAGCACTGCAAGGGATTTGCAAAACTAACATCCACCTGCCTCTGTTAGTAAGCAGATCCCAGTATGTCCTGCCAGCACAGACCAGGTTCTGCATAAAATAAGTAGCCGTTGGTCCTTTGGTTCCAAAGCACCAGAGAAGTAAGTGCTGCTACTGCCTATCCTCTTATTTACTGCAGCCAATGGTTAATACACTCCCCCAGGATGGAGAAGATGCAGATTCAATCATTTCCTTTGCCTCAGAGGATATAAACCCATATCCCAAGTAAGAGACCTAATCATACATTAACATACTAATTCACATGCGAGATGGTCTTTGTCCCTCCTGTTTGCATAACTTTTTCCAGTTTGCATAACTTTGACCAGACAGAAGAAAAATGTGCAGCACTACCCAGAGCAGGGACATCTGGTTCTGATCTCTTCTCTAAGATGAGAAGATATATGATTGTTTACATATTCCCAGTGACCACTTAAAGTAAGGCATACATGTAAAACGTCCTTTAAATAGACTTTCTCATAAAAACACCCAATGGTTAAATTACAGCTAACTGTTCTCTTCCTCCTACACTGCGGTTATATTTCAAATTTTATCATGTCCCGTAACAAGCTTTCAGAGAGACAGTTGAAAACGCCTTGCCTATATTGCCTATGCTGCAGAGCACTGAGGATAATTTCTAGACCCAGGTGGTAGAGACACCAACGAGGAGAGGTGTGCTGCTGGACCTTGTACTAACAAACAAAGAAGGTCTAGTTGGAGATGTGAAGGTTGGGGGCAGCCTTGGCTGCAGTGACCATGAGATGGTGGAGGTCAGGATCCTAAGAGGAGGGAGCAGGGCAATAAGTAGGATCGCAACCCTGGACTTCAGGAGAGCAGACTTTGGCCTCCTCAGGGACCTCCTTGGAGGAATCTCATGGGGTAGGGCCCTAGAAGGAAGAGGGGGTCCAGGAAAGCTGGTTAATATTCATGCATCACCTCCTCCAACCTCAAGAGCAGTGCATCCCTCTGAGTAGGAAGTCCAGCAAAGCAGACAGGAGACCTGCATGGATGAGCAAGGAATTCCTGAGAAAACTCAGACAAAAGAAGGAAGTCTACAGAAGGTGGAAAAGGGACGGGCCACTTGGGAGGAATATAGGGATATTATCAGAGTCCGCAGGGATGCGACAAGGAAGGCTAAGGCCCATTTGGAATTAAGTCTGGCAAGGGATGTCAAAGACAACAAGAAGGGCTTCTTCAAATACATCAACAACAAAAGGAAGACTAGGGCCTGCTGCTGAATGAGGTGGGAGATGGATCCCCACCCCATGGGGTAATGAAGGATATAGAGAAGGCAGAGTTGCTGAATGCCTTCCTTCTGTCAATCTTCACTGCTAAGACCAGCCCTCAGGAATTCCACACCCTGCGGACAAGAGAGGAAGGCTGGAGAAAGGAAGACTCTCCCTTGGTCGAGGAGAATCGGGTTAGGGATCATTTGTCCAAAC